TCCAATCTTCACTACTTCCTTCTAGGGCGGCGACAGCAGCTAGCTCCGGCGAAGGGGGGTACGACGGGGACACCGAACGGGCTAGCAGCTCACCCGGAGGAGGGCGGCGAAAGGGGCCGGCGGCGGGAGGGGGGGGCGGGAGCGGGCCAGGAGAGGAGGGGGAGGGCGGAGGCGGGAGCGGGCAGGAGGAGGAGAGAGACTGGCACGGGACGAGCAGCGACGCGTTTGAGATCGCTGTGGCCGTCTTGAAGGTGCGGCCGGCCGAGCACTGGCTGACTACGCGGGGTCGAAAGATTTGTGTGTTGAACTTTTTGTAAGATGTCTGGTTCGGTGTTGAACGAGGCCCAGAAGTGTTAGGGGGTGGTGTAGGCATTTGTAGAAAAGTTGTTGCTGATTCTCGGTTGCCTTGTACCTTGTGCGTGGAAGTGGGGAGAAAGTGATTCACTACGCTATATAAAAAAAAAACATGTGGAATCCTTTACCCCTCGGCGGTGATGGTGCCCCGCCGTTGTAGTTGCCTACCCGTATGTAGGCAATGTACGTGTCCCAAATCCCTCACGTTGTGTACCAAACGCTCTGTAGATCGGAAAACTTCTATGACTATGAACCCTCCAACCCCCTCCCCCCCCCGCTCTCCGCTAAGGCATGCAAAACATGGGTACCCCCCCCTCTGGCCAATGGTCTATCCGCTAAGGCATGTAAAACGTGAGTATCCGCCCCCCCCATCGCGTGCTGACTCTATCAGCGATGCCGAGAGGATAGCGTGCTAGTCGAGGCCCTCCCGGACACCCTCGAGCTTCTCTTGCGGGCGTGCATGGAGGGGCTCAGCATAGCGGGAGCACGGGCCAAACGGTCCTCCTCCTCCTCCTCCTCTCTTGGCAGCAACGACGGGTCCGACAGCGGCAGCCATCCCCCCCGACAGGACGGTGCTGCTGCTGCTGCTGCTGCTGCTGCTGCTGCTGCTGCTGCTGCTGCAACCGTCTCCGAGCTCGAGCTAGCGCGGGCCGTGATGTCGGACAGCGTGTACCTCGCCCAGCTGGCGCCCGAGTGCTTCCACGAGGTGGTGGCCCGCGTCGCCCGCAAGGCCGAGCCCGAGCGGTACCCCCTCCTGTTCCCGCTACACCTCGTCCGCGGGGCCCCCGATGCAGAGGAGGAGACGGAAAAGTTTTTTAGCGTTGGCGGCGGCATCAGCGGTGGCGGCGGCGGCGGCAACAGCGGCGGCGGAAGAGCCCAATCCGAAGAAGCGGTGAATGGCGAGAGGGCCAGGGCGGGAGGGGTGGGGCAGGTCGGTCGCTGTGTTGGGCCGAGGTGGGGCCGGTGGGTGCACCCGACGCACCTCTTCCACGAGTGCGTGTCCTCGGGAAAGCTGACCACGGCGGCGTGGTACCTGCCCCTCATCAGAGATGACGTCGCTTACGATGCCGCGCAGAGGTAAGGGATGCGGGAGAGACGCGGGGATCTCGATGAGTTTTGGAGGTTCCAGATTAACTTACCACCACCTTTGGTCGAAAACGCGTATTAATAGTTTTTCTCTGGGATAGGGGATGGATGTGCCCGCTGTGTAGCGGAGGAGCACTGTTGTTGTTGTTGTTGTTGTTGTTGTTGTTGTTGTTTGAACATGGCGCAAGCCAGGGGCTACACGCCACGCTACGCTGTCTCGTCTTTTCGGGTAAAAACCCGTACTGTACCACTTTTTCTTTCCATGCTTTGTGGTTCGTGTAAGAACCGACCAATTTTCTTTTTTCTCCCGCCGATGTGCTGTTTTTTCGCCCCGGTGTACACGGTCTTGGCGCGCTACATCATGCACCTTGTCGTGGGTACCGCCTGCCCGTTGTCTGTGCTTCCCGTGGGGAGAGCAGGCACGTCGGGCCGAACGGCCCCCTGTCGGAGGAGGAGCGGTCGCGCCTGATGCCGTTGGAGATGTGGGCCGTCACGGGGGAAGGGTGGCCCTACGGCCTCAGCCACGCGCTCTCCTGCGTGTTGCTCCTCGCCAGCCTCTCCTCGAACCAGGTACACTTGTAGGGTGTCTGCGTTTTTTGGTGCGTTTTTTTTTTGTCTTTTTTTTTTTTCTCCGTCGGTCGTCTTCAAAATTAAGTGTTTTAGTTCGACGCCAGGGCCGGGGTGCGCGAAAATTATCGCTGTATCCGGCACATGTTGCATTTCTAGAGATTTCGGTGTTTGCCGGGGGAGGGAACGAGTGGATGGAGAGCGCTGCTCTTCAACGAGATATTTTGTTTTTCTTGCCGTTCGCTTCTTTTGTTTTCTTTTTTTAAACACGGACATAAGTACAGGTAGTTTTTTTTCTCCCTCCCTCTGGCGTTCTTTGTGCGGACCGGTCAAATATTTTTAACCTACCTTTTTCTCCCGCGACTTTTGCCCGCACCACCCTCTCGCAGCACGCCTTCCTCCCCGAGGTGTGGCTCTTCGCACGCAAGCGCGAGCAGTCCGCGCCGCACCACCACCACCACCACAGCCACAGCCACCGTCACCGCCGTAGCAGCAGCGCCGTCGCGTCACCCGCGGCTGGCGACGGCGGCGCTGGCGTCTCCGACGACCGTTGGTGGACGATGGGGCAAGGCGCCGCGATCGAGGCTCTCCTCACGAGGGACGTGTCGAGGAGACAGGTCGCCGGCGGCGCCGAGGCGATGCTGAGGCGCACCAGCAGCGACAACCGATTCCGTAGGGGAAGCGTTGGCGGCTTGGGGTGGGCCGTCGGTGGGACGGGGTGGGGTAGCAGCGCCGGGGGAGAGGCGAAGGGGATCCCGAGGTCTCCGGTGTCGAGGGCGGCTTTGGAGGGCGGGCGGGGGACCCACTTCGGAAGGACGTCGGCGCTAAGGCTGCGCGCGCTTCGAAGGTGCGCGGGAGGGAGCTACGGCTTGGTTTTATTCCCTCCCCTGAGTGCGTCTGTTTTTTGTTTCTGGGTCGATGGTGGGTGGGTTTCCGTGCCTAGAAACGGTGCCTGGTTCCAACCAACCCCACGATTTGGGTGGGCAAGGCAGTGCACGGAGTGCTGTGAGCGTGTGCAGCGTGTACGACACGGAATGCTGATGGTCTTGGCGGTCGAACATTTTTTTTTTATTTTCTTGTAACGTCACGCTGGTCTACTACCAACTCGCCCTTCTCGTCCCGCCCTTACCCTGAAGGCCGGGTAGACTCGGCGACGCGGACGCGGACAGCGCCGACGATACGGGGGACGAGTCGCCATTCCCGACCGAAGGCGGCGAAGAAGAGCCGCCCGAGAGACGAGAATCGTCGTCAACGATGCCGCCACAGGTTTGCCGTGTTTGCCGTGTTGAGTTCTTCTGTTGAGAGGGAATTGAACCGCGAAAAACCGTTGGCTCGCCTATGATAGTGAAATGCCCGGTGTCGACCAATCGTGGCGCGTTGGGGCAGAATCGCTTTGAGGGGGTGCACGGTGCAGTAGCCGTTTATCGTGCATGTGGAGCGTGTGTTTGGTGTAGCATACCGCGATCGCCGCTCGGTGGGTGGTACGGTATGTCGTGCTTTTCCCTGTTTTTTTAATCCGTGAAGATTCAAAGCCACGGTGCTTTCAGGCACTCGAAACCAACACTAGTTGACTCCCCCCCCCCTCCGTAGCTAGTCCTCAACTCCAAGAGGATTGAACTTTCACACCCAAAGGGGATGGATGCTAAGTGACCTCAGCGGCTACGGGTTGACTCTGGTTAGTCTGCTCTCGTCGTCCCGGCTTGTTTTTTTCTTCTTCCACGCGGCGCCTTCAACAAAACCACCACCCCCACACTCAGCGGCCGGAGGTCGAGAGCACGCGGTTGTATCACCTGCCCCTGACGAGGGACGCGGCTTCCGTCGTCTCTCGCTTCATGTGGAAGGAGCTCAACGAGCTCCGGGTCAAGGTGGTGCTGCGGGCGTTCCAGGTGAGCGGGGGGGGCATTTGTAGCGCGGGGGGGGGTATGTAGCCCGGCAAAGTCTGGTGCCTGGCGGTGTGGAGGGGGACGGGGTGATTATTTTGGGCGATCCCGAGGATGACCAGTGTGTGTCGCTGTTGTGGAACAGCGTCTTCTGCACGATTTTTTTCTTTCGGTCGTTGTTTGCACGGCCGAGGAGAGCGTGCAGGCCTCGCCGAAAAGAGGTATGCTGTGGATCGTCACTACCTTCTCGTTGCGCACTGGTTAGTGGACAGGCCCCACTTCGTTTTTCGTCGATCTATTTGCTGTTTTTTGCAAGCGATGAAATCTAGTATCGCTGGCTCTCCGTCGCCGAGGAACACTCTTGTGAGGTGAGTGGTTGACGAGTTAACGTGGTGTTCTCGACCAACCCCTCGTCGGTTTTTTTCGTTCGATCCTGTCGTCGCCCCTTGTCTGTCTTTCTCTGTCTGTCTGTCTGTCTCTCTCTGTCGGTCTGTCTGTCTGTCTGTCTGTCTCTCTTCCCCCCCCCCTTCTCTCTCTCTCTCTCTCTATCTCTCCCTCTCTCTCTCTCTCCCCCCTCTCTCTCTCACGCGCGCATCACATGACCAAGCAGTCCCTTGCGTGCAGCACCGCCGCGCGAGAGGCCGGGCTGGATGCTGGCCAAGTCCTCGCCGCCCTGTCGCCCGCAAGACGGTCGATGGTGGGCAGCTTGCACGGCTCGCCCGTGGAGACCTTTGCCGGTCTCCTGGTTTCTCTCGCGGAGGTGCGAGGGGCAAACAGAGGGGGGGGGGGGGGGGGGGGGGGGGGGAAGGTTA